TGAAAAGGTCACCGTCGACTATTGATATTTCATCGATGATTATGGCTTCAATGCTTTTCAGTTCTAATTCGTCATTAGGGTTGTAATGTAGTAGGGTTTCATAGTGATTTTGGTTAAATCTAATTCTTAGGGTAGAGTGGATAGTTTTACCGCGTATAGATTGTGCAGCAACACCAGTAGGGGCCATTAATAAATATTTTTTATTTTTGTAGGAGATTATTTGATTTATCATGAACGATTTGCCAGTCCCGACCGGACCCGTTAAGAAGAAGTAAGGGTATTTACCATCATTAAATTTTCCCCAGATATTGCATAATGTGTTGTAGATGTTATATTGGTTAATGTCTAGTGTTAGCGAAGATTGCGAGTTTATACGGGGCGGATGTCTTTCTAGGGAGAGAAATTGGGTAAATATTAAATTAGATAATTCTTGGTTTTCGAGTTCGGGTAAAAGGGATTTTAAAATTGATTCATAGGTATTTGATAAGTTATTTCTTTCTTCTAGACGACTTTTGTGTACTAAATCAATTGCTTGTTGATATCTCACGGGAAATATAGATTTAAAATGTTCTCTATATATAGGATGTCCTCCTAACAATTCCTGTTCAGTTCGTGCTGGGATTTTCATTATAAGATGTTGAAAAAAAAAGGTTCTCCATCTTCAACTTTATATGTTGCGAATCTTAGAAGAACAGGTGATTTACATTGAGTAACTATTAGGTTTTTACAATCACGTATATGAAAAGATCTTGATCGTTGACTTGGTTGTTTGGAGCTTATAACATAATTTTTAAAATATTCAGAGTAGGTAACGGACTGAAAATCTTCGTGGACAGGGCGATCAAAGTATTTATCAATTGCATCGTCCCAGTAAGGTGGATCGTCATTATCGTTATTATTGTTGTCGTTGTTTTCTGTTGTACTTAGTAGGTGAATGGGTTTGACGGATCTTAGTCTTAGTTCGGAAGGAGCAGAAGGAAGATAATGTACAGAAACGGAGCATCTTGTCAATGGATGCTGGAGTAGGAGTACCATTAATTCCATTGCTCCTAATCGTCGTGCCATGATGTGTCGTCTGTATTCGTCACTTTCATTAATGTCAAAAAGTTCAGAGGATTCAGGTTTGGTGACATATTTTGTTATGTATTTGGCAAATCCAGTTGTTGTAATATATTGAAAATTTATGTGCCCTCTCCAGATTAATAGTATCTCTGGATAGTATGGGATAACCATACGATCTTCTTTTTTGGTATGTCGGTATATATATCGCAAGGTATTTGGTGAACAGTAAGTTCTTTGGGAAAGGGTTTGGGGAAAACCTTTAGAACATGGTTCACCATTGGGGCCTTGTTCTCCACATCTATTATCGCAATGGTGTATTTGGAATGTTGTTACTAGATGATATAAATCTGGTTCTGTGTGAGGATCTGGTACGTCAGCGCGAATTAAGTTAAGATAGATTAATTCAGAAATTTTTTTTCTGTATAGGCGAAGCCATGTGTATGTATGGTTCCCCTATTTTGAAATTCATCGCGTTCAAAATGGTGTTCCCATTTACCCCATCTAGCTAAATTGGAGTTCTTCCACAATTTATTGCAGATGTTATTTAGGTAATTCTGATAAAACATATAGACATGCAATGGGCGATTTGTCAGCAATGTATTGTTATTGTCTGTTGATTCTAAGATTTCTCTTAGTTGTGGCCATTTGTCTTCAGCCATTGTCATTGTATAGAATATCTGCGGCAGACCATAGGCAGATATCATCGTATTGATTTGGAGTTGTTTTTTTTTAAAAAAAGGTGAGGCTGTTCTGAAGCTTGAAGGAAGTGTTGTCGTTTTTGATTCATCTAGGATGTTTCTCTCATTGTACGAACTTTTACTGATTAAATCTGCTCTTGTAGGATGATGTTTTCTATTTACATTACGGGTTGATAATATATGGTGTTGATTTTGGAAGTTTTGTTTTTTTTCTAAATTTAAGTATGACCAATGAGGCCAGTACTAGTGTAGACAAAACTTAGGATCGGGACATAGCATCCTTAATTTTATATACTTTCCATAGCTTTCTATTGAAGGGTGAAAGTTTAAGAGCTGCTTTACATTTTCGTAATGACCTTTAGCATTAGGAAATAGGTCAGGAAATATTAATGCTTCCAAGTCGGGATTATTAAATGCGATTGGAAGATTAGTTGTATTTATTGATCCAGCTATTAATCGATTGTAGTGTGAATCTTCATCGTGAATTTCTTGTGGGAATTGATCATTTGGAATGAATAGATCGGGAGGATGTGGAATTTCATTTGGAAGGATACTGCGGTACATATTTGGAAATGATTCTTGAGTATTAATTGATTGTCTTGCTAGAGGTAGTAAAATAGGTATTGAAGTTTCTGGTGATGGGTGGGTAATGTTAATGTTTGATGCATATTTTTTAATAAGTTCATTATGCTGTTTAAGCTAGTTAGAGGCAGGAATTAAGGTTTCATGAAACTAATTTGGAGGTTCATGTATATTTAGGTAGGCTCCTGCGGTTCCAGAATAAATTTCTAAAGTGCGGTAGTTGTATGATATATTTATTGATCCTTCTAGGTGACGATAGTTGGTGTAGTGATTAGAGCCAGCAGCTCGTCCTAATGAGCAATTCAGATGCAAAGGAGAGAGGTATCTCCTATGAAACATTGGAACAAGTTGGATTTCATGAGGTATTTTAGCTAAAATCGGGGAATAGCAGCGGGTATTTTGTTTTTTGCATCTATTGCAAACAGCTACTTGTACGATATTTCGGTTATTTCGGCGTGTACGCACAGGAATATCAGGGAAGGAGAGAGGTAAGGTATATTGTTCATTTTTATCATAGGGCAACCACTTTATGGAAGAGTTCATCATGAGCATTGAGCAATAGGCACAAGGAACATTGGGATAGTCGTGTAGTATTTTTGATTGAAAATCGGTTAAAAGGTATAAAAGACTCGCTTGTGGAGTAAAGAGATTGTAATTATTCGGAGGTAAGAGGTTTGATTCTGTATTGTCAGTGGATGGTGCATTAGACAAGTTTTGGTTTATTTCGTCTCTTTGAGTGTAAGATCTAAAGAGCACGTCTATTTGAGGGTTTATGTTGCTTTCTGGGTTAGATTCTTCTGTAAGGGATGTAAAAAGAGGGAAATGGTTTATTTCATGATTAGACATTATTGGTTTTAGTAATAAGAAGTATAATTGATAATGACTTTGATTTGTTAGAATAGTGATGCGATTGTAACGAGGTATTTATAAATATTTTTTTTTTATTGATGTTGTATAAAACTTTGCTAGATTTAGGCAATAGACGTAATCATAAATGTAATCAGTAAGTATTTGAGATTTTATTTTAAATGGTATTTTGAAATAAAAATAAAGGTATATTAATATATAAATTTAGTTGTCTTAATAAAATTATTATCATTATTTGAATTTCTAGTGTATGATATATATATAAAGTCATCACGGTGAAGTATCCAAAGTAATACTGAAATATACAAGATAAAAAACCCAAATAAATACAAGCCTATATTCAACAAGGTTCAATTTTTTAAATCACTATAACTTTTTATATAAGAGGTTTTTCAAAAAACTGACTGGTAACTTTCTAGAGCAATATATATTAGTTCTCAACATTTTTTTGAAAAACCTACTGTATAATAAGTTGATGCATTTTAAAAATTACTATTGTTTTATATATAGGTTTCTAGCACCATATTTTTAAAAAAAGTTATATCTGAGTATTCGAGTTTTAATTTATAAAATAATCTGCTTTACAAGAAATATATAAATTTATTTTTGCATATTTTGCATAATTTGCTATATAGCGCATAATATGCGCATATTTTAAGCTAAAAACTTGCATAATTTTGCATAATTTACAATTTGCCGCACGCATAATTTGACCATCCTCGCATCATAATCCTGGACACCCTAGTGTCCGTAGACTTACTCTAGGGTTATTGGTTTTTAGTAGTATCACGTGAATTTTACTGTCCATACTGTCCCTACACTGTAACTGCCGCGGAAAATCTATGGACAGTTCTTAGCGCAGGATCTACGGACAGTTCTTACGGACAGTTCTTACGGACAGTAAGGACTGTTCAAATTCACGTGATATTGCTAAAACCACTAACCTTAACTGTCCCTAACTGTCCCTAATACTAAGAACTGTCCGTAGATCCTCCGGTTACAGTGACATATGAACGTCACGTGAAGTAGCTATCTCTGCTGCTTACTTTTTGATTCATCTAAACATACTCTCAAACTAACCAATAACATTGCATGTTATTATAGTAAAAATTAGTAAAGTTTTAGGGTACGTTTAGATATATCAAAAAAGTAGAAGCAGAAGTGTCAAAAATGAAAGTTTTGTTGCACCTCTGCAAATGTCCGCAAAATTTTTTTCAATATTGAAATTGTCTCAATAGTTGTCAAGATATTTTAATTCAAGGTTTAAATGTTTATCAGATCGAAAATAATCAAGAATGTTACCGAAATTCAAAAAATAATTTCACCGAATTTCGACGAAATTATGTTTTGACAATTATCAAGTGAATTTCGGCGAGGCACTTTATTCGTAGTCATAATGAACGTTGATATGATTTTATATGATACGTAGTAAATTTATACATATATAGTAAAATTATCTTCATACGTATCGATATCAAAATCAAAAAAAAAAAAAATGCGTATGTACGTACGTACGTACGTAGGTCATTGGCCAACACTGATTTAAAGATGTCATGTGATAAATCCGTAGTTGTGGATTTACGATGAGTATAAAATGAATATTTGAAAAAAAGATCGATCTTTCTTCTATTCCATCCTCTTCTGGCCATTTAGGTAATAATGGGTAAGTTCGTTCTAGACTTTGTCAATTTTATATCCTCATTGAGAACAAAAGTATATATTTCTGTTGGCATGAATTTTCAATTTCCTAAATCAATAAAATAGCATTTTAGATTAGAATTTTTGAAAAATATGGATTCAGCAGTAGACGTCAACATAAATTTGCTAATTCACCTTCGATTTATTAGGTAAAGGAAAACCTAGAGGTTTACAAAGTGCACGTAAATTACGTACGCACCGTCGAGAGGAACGGTGGGCTGATAAACAATATAAGAAGAGGGCATTAGGTACAGCTTATAAATCATCACCATTTGGTGGTTCCTCTCACGCTAAGGGCATTGTACTTGAAAAAATGTATAATATTTATTATATTGGTCCTGTTTTTTTTAAATAATATTGGTTGGCGTAGATTAATTACTTTATACAATTTAGTGGCGTGGAAGCCAAGCAACCAAATTCCGCTATTCGTAAATGTGTTCGTGTTCAACTAATTAAAAACGGAAAAAAAGTCACTGCTTTCGTTCCGAATGATGGTTGCTTAAATTATGTAGAAGAAAACGATGAAGTTCTAATCGCCGGATTTGGACGTAAAGGGCGCGCTGTAAGTATTAATAATTATTTGTGTGACTCAAAAAAAGTTATTTATTCATTTTTCTTGTTAGATCGGTGATATTCCTGGCGTTCGTTTCAAAGTAGTCAAGGTCTCCGGCGTGTCTCTCCTTGCTCTGTATGTATTGCTTGTTTGGGTTTTGTTTGTCTTGCTTGATGATTAGCTAATTATGATGATCATAACAATTATAACTTACAGATATAAGGAAAAAAAGGAAAAGCCTCGATCTTAATGATTTTTTGTGATGACTTTCTTGAAATTAATAAATTTTCAAATAAATTAGACCGGACGTTTACACACATATTTCTATAGTAGACCATCAATAAAAGTTCAATGCTCTACAAATCTTGTCGATCAATTTTTCTTCATCACACAATGATATATATATTCAAAATCAGCGTCGATATAATCTGGCAATTTTCTATTTGTCGAAATGTAACCGATAAATATGTACGTAACGTGGCAGCTATATATGGAATTGACCTAAATTTATAATAAATGAAATATAAAAAGGACAAAATATTTCACGTATGAAATAAAAACATTTTTCACAGAGGCGATGCGTTTTGAGGAACGCTTTCGGTATTGCACCTGAAAAAATGTTGTGCAAACAAAGACTTTTACTAATATTCCGATGTAAGCCTAACTCTGTCATAAATTTCAAGTGAGAAATTATTGTTAATAACCTTGATTCGAATGTTATAGTTTGCATTATTTGTGGATTCTTCCTTATTGTGTTTGCTCGGGTCACGTCTGTTTCTGGAGAAGAATTATCACAAAGCACAACAACGCCCACTCAATCAGTGTCGGTTACCAAAAGCACAGATGGCTTATTAAAGTTAGAAGGTAAACTAAGCGATATGTTCCACGTTACAATTCTTTGCAAGAATTTCTTTACATTTACAAGTTCTAATCATATATCATATGTAGGCGACAAATTGTATCACAAAGCTTTGGAAGTTCTACGTGGCTTGAAGTCTTCGTCAAAAAAACGGATCTCAACAAATAGTGAATTCGATGATACGGATCCTAACATTCTTCTTCTTACGTATAAAGTTTTTGCACAAATTTTGTTCTCCATATTCGGATTACGTCCGCCATTTGCAGAACATTTAAATATAGGAAAAAAACAGACTGCAGAGATTAAAAACCCAAGACTGAATAAAGCTGTAGAATTATTAGAGAAAGCAGCTTTTGAATTTGAACATGATGGTGCACTGTTTACTCTTGGAGAAATGAATTTTGTAAGATATCAATTTTATGTGTATAATGATGCTAATATTTATCAATTTTCTGAAAACCTTGTACACATGTGTATACTCTAGTTCGCAAAATATTCTCATCCACGTAATTTGACTGCGGCTTTTCATTATTATCGAGAATTAGCAAACCGATCAGGAAATGCGACTGCGCAACAGATGGTCGGCTTCATGTACGCGACTGGTATAGGTGATGTAGTACAGCGCGATCAAGGAAAGGTAGGGCGGTCTGTGTGGTATTGTTCTTATTGTTTGCTACTACTCGGTGTTTAATGGTCATATTTATAATTAAATCCTTTAAGGCATTATTATACCATACTTTTGCGGCTTTTGGTCGTGAGACTGCAGCTGAAATGACGCTTGCGTACCGATATTTCACTGGTATTGGTGTACCGCGAAATTGTGAAGATGCTGTATATTACTACAAACGTGTGGCGGATAAAGGTGGTTGTTAAATTTGTTGTCATTCTATAATTACTCGCCATATTTGATGATTTACGCATAATGGTTTGATTGGATTTAGCTATTGAATATTATAAATCTGGTCCGCCTGGCGGTCGGCAACTTCCTCATCCTAAAATAAAATTATATGATGAGGATGGTGGTGTGTATGGATATGGGGCCAGTGGACCAGGCTCTGGTTCGTCAAGTAAACCTGGGGACCAAGGTGCGTGGGACGATATTTTGGAATATTATCATTATTCTGCTAAGCAAGGTGATACTGCATCACAGGTAGGTATACTGGTCAAATATCAAAATAAGATGAATTTAGACATATTCCCAATAAACATATTTTATTTATATTATAGCTAGGTTTAGGTCAACTTTATTATCAGGGAACAAGTATGATTATGATTTTATTTGTCTTTCGAAATAGGTGCTGTTTATGCAATAAATAATGTTATTACCTCTATTATTTAGAAAACATACCTCAAAATTTCAAACTTGCTTTCCAATACCTCAAACAAGTCGCAGATCAGTATTGGCCCACTGATACTTCTGTGACTGATCCTTTATCACCGAATCAAAAACTTGCTAATTTTGCGGGACAAGCCGCAGGGATTTTAGGTTCGTTGCATTACTAGTGGATCCAGATAATATTTAGTTTTATCGAATTTAATTTATCTGGAACAATTCAAAATGTAGGGCAAATGTATTGGCGTGGAGAGGGAGTTGTTCAAAATAATAAAACTGCACGTGATTGGTTTATAAGGGGAGCGAAAAAGGTCAGTGGTGCTCTTATTTTTATCCTATTATTGATATTTTCTTTGCTTAATTATATATTTATCTTCGAATTTATCTAATTATAGGAAAATGCTGCATCTTATAATGGTCTTGGTTTGATGCATTTGGAGGGTTTGAAACACAATGACAAAGATATAGTTCCGGAGGTAATTGATCCTACACTTTTCGGTCGTTTTAAATGAATATCATTATTAATTCATATTCTTTTTGTAGAATCGTGAAACAGCCATGGAACTCTTTAAAGCAGCGGCCTCCCGTGAACATGCCGACGCACAAGTCAATTTGGGTTTAATGTATTTGCGTAGGCTGAATTAAATTTATTATTACCATTGAATTAATGCTATCTTCTCATCCTTTATATTGGTTTTATACATAGAAATCAATGATATTAAAAAGGCCTTCGAGTATTTTAAGTTAGCTGCAAATCAAGCTCATCATCTCTTAGCATATTATCACTTAGCCGAAATATATTCGAAAGGGCTTGCGAATGAACAAAGATCATGTCCCCTGGCTGCTGCAGTGTGTATTTTCGTTCATTGCTTACAGTTTATTTTTGAACAACGTAATTATTCACATTGGTAAATTCGTTAGTTCTACAAAAATGTTGCAGAGAGAGGCGATTGGCTTCATTCACCATTTCCTGCAGCATATGCAGCATACTCTTCTGGTGATCGTGATGATGCGTTAATTAATTATTTAATAGCGGCGGAGAGAGGATACGAAGTCGGACAGTCAAATGTCGCTTGGTTATTAGACAAAGGTACACTATGTATTTTTTTTTTTTGCTGTCTTTTGTTTTTGTTTTTACGGATCGTTGATTTTTCCGCTTAACATTGATTTTAAATTTAGATAAGTCATGGTGGCATTTACCACATTTAGTTCCGAAACCAGATCAATCACGTGATAAATTGGCCCTTCTTTATTGGACACGGTCAGCAAATCAAGGCAATGTTGACGCACGAGTAAAGATGGGTGACTATTATTTCAAAGGATTTGGTACCGATGTAGATTATGAAAAAGCTGCAGCTTGCTACCAAGTTGCTGCAGAAGCAGATTTCAGTGCCATGGCAATGTGGAATCTCGGGTGGATGCATGAACATGGCATAGGAGTTGCTAAAGTTTGTTACCCAATTATTTATACAATTCTTTATATCTATTTCAGAAAAACAAGTGTCTTAATAAAGTATTTTTCATAGGACTTTCATCTTGCGAAAAGGTGGTACGACCAGTCTTTAACGACGAATCCAGATGCGTATCTTCCTATCACGATATCACTAATTAGGCTGAACTCAAAAAGTTTTTGGGACTTTATTACCGGAATTGAAACAGCTAGAAATGAGGAAGAATCATTTAAAGGACTATTGTGGAAAGATCCATCTTTCATTGATGATGATGAAACAGGTGGGTCTGTAGAACATGTTCAGAATATGGCAAAAGATGAGGAGCAAAAGAAATCAGACGATTATTTAAGTTCACTCTATCCAGATATTTTCGACGAGGCCGATGAAAGGGAAGCTTGGTTTGAAAGTTTAACGATATTATTGATGTGTATTATGGTAGGATGGCTAGTTTATATTCGGCAATTACGGTGGAATCATGCTCAACCAGCTGTTGCTGCACCAGGTTAATGTTAATACAGAGTCATAATGAATTATATTAATTAGAATTACTCGATAGCTATATTTTAGAAGTTTTATTAATTTTTAAGCTACATTTAGACTTATTGATTAATGTCATTCTTTGTGGTTGCGGTTGTTAGTTATTATATATAATAAAATTAATTGCCCGGAGCAAGGAGGAGGACACTCTGTGGAAAGGTAGTGGTACAAAATTGGTAAAATGTGTTCATTTTTTTATACGAATAATTACTTCAGACATGACAATTTCTAAATTTAAGAAAAATTATTTAAAATATATTGTATATTACAATTTTAAACTTATTTTTTTTTACAATAATACTGAAATAATTTTTGGTTATAAAATATCTTGATTATAAAAAAATAAAAATATTTAGACATTGTCAATATATATTTAGTAACCAATTTTAGTATTCGTAAGGGTTTATATAATATCTTTTAGTACGGGATAGCATAAAACATTATATGGGTTTGGTGCTGAGAAAAGGGACAATTTGACAAAAATTAACCCATATGATTATCACAACCCTTATTTTTAGGTTTTTGGGGGTTCTGAACTTTTTTGCTTAAAGTGATTACTACGGGTTATATCTTTCGCAAACATTATCTCGTGAAATATTGATCGGAATTGTAATAATGCCACTAGATTCGTCCCAATGAGACGAACCCAAAGTCATACGTTTATTAAGGAAAAATTTACATATAGTCATGGTTACATATAGCCTATATATAATACTTAATACTAAACTATATATAATACTTAATACTAAACTATATATCTATATTAAGATGTTCGATCCGTATAGAATCACATGATTTTGAATCACATGATTTGTATCACACGATTTTGTATCACACTACCCGTTGTTTAACAACGGGTCGAAGCACCTAGTATATAATAAAAAAATTAGGGTTGGGTCGTTTAACCGCATAAAAATTCTTTTATAGTGTTGGGCCGAATTATGAGGATTGTCTTAATGTTGGCTAAATTAAACGGTTAATTAGGGTTTCGCATTTGATTTGATTTGATTTGATTCAAATATTTGATTAAATTGAAAGTCCAAATATTTGATTTGATTTGAAAATATTTATAAATAGCTAAAATTTGAAAAGTTATAGTTTCAGAAGCTATTTACTCAAAATTTTATTAAGACAATTATTAATTTGGTTTTATGAAACTAGGGCTATTCTGATTAAGAGAACATTATTCATTTAATATACAAAATTGATTAGCTTAATTTTTTTTTTTTTTGGTTTTAAGATAACCTCTTGGTTACTGTCCTTTTATTTGATTATTGTTAACTTTTTACAGTATGGAATCCCATACCATATACATATTTAAAGAGTACAACTAGCTATATGTATAACTTTTGATTGTCTATTTTAAGTAAACACCTGAAGGTTTTACACTAGCTGTCATATCTATAACCTTACTGAGTTACCTATTTAAACCCTCTGTGCCTATGTATATTAATCTTCTAACCAAGCAAAAATATATTAGTATTCCTTATTTTCAAATTTCCAATTTAGAACTTTAAGATAGACCTACCTATAGGGGTCTTTTGTCTTTAAGGTAAACCTGCTAGAGCTTTTTGTATCCACAATCTGGCTAACCTAGGCTTCGGTAACTTATGTCAAGTCCGAGAACAAGTACTTGCGAGCCAAAGCCGCTACCATTATCTACTTCTGCCCTTGTAAAGTTCACTCAAACCTCAGTATATACTTTACAGATTATTACTAATATCTAAGTTCTGTCAGTAACCTAAACTCCTAATCCAGATAGCCCAGAAGGGCTTGACTTGCCTCTAGTTCCCATGGTTGGGTTCTTTTCTTCCAGCTCACATCCGACGGCCTGGTTAGTATAGTGCTTGCCTAACACCAGTCCTCATTCAGATCACTAAAATCAGTATCTGGATCCCTTAGATAATTTTTTACATAGTATCGTTAAAGATCTGTACTACTTCTCTACTCAAGACTTGCCAAGTAGGCTTCAATACCTGGATTTATACAGCTGTTTCACCTAGTTCATGTAACTCATGCATCACACTACAGTTCTACAGCTTCCTAATAACCCCTGGTACAACCAAGTTTACAGATCCAATAATCTATCAGATTATACATAGTCTGCCATAACACATTTTGTAAAATTCGAATTTTATCACCAGTAGGATTCGAACTTTTGTCCTGCCGCTTGGGGTGCAACAACTTGACCACTTCACTAAGTCGTCACACCTTTATTGATTAGCTTAATAAAATTTTGTGAAAATCAAAGATATTTATAAATGGTTAAAATTTAAAGAGCTATAGTTCTAGAGGCTATTTTTCAAAATATTATTAAGACAATCACTAATTTGGTTTTATGAAACTAGTAATATTTTAATTAGAAGATCATTTTTTATTTAATATACAAATCGATTAGCTTAATAAATTTTAAAAAAAGGCTTAGGCTGCAGAAAATTTTGTCTGAGTCTCTATTCTTGACATTCTTAGGATATAAAAGTCATATATAATTTCTTTCTTATAAATTTGCTTGTAAAGAGATTCAATTGAGTTTTAATAAAGTTAGAGGCATGGCCTCACTTTAAGTTTCAAAAAAAAAATAAATAAATTTTAAAAAAATCAAAGATTTTTATAAATAGCTAAAATTTTAAATTGATTTGAAATTTTAAAATCAAATAATTAAATCAAATTCAAATCCAGATTTTTTAAATCAAATCAAATTCAGATTCAGATTTTCAAATCAAATCAAATTCAAATAAGTCTAATATTTGATTTGATTTGATTTTAAGAAACTCTATAGTTAGGGATAGGGAAGTTTGGTTTGGTTCGGTTTGGTTTAATTCAAATTTGATTGATGCATGATCTGCATAAGTAAGAATTTATATTAGATCAGACAAAACTTCCCCATCCCTATCTACAGTTAATGTGTTTAATGATCCTAATATCTATTAATATTTGACAGATTAAAATAAAATCAAATTAAAATAAAAATTTGTTATGTTTTTTAGTATTAGGATTAGGGTTTAAAGTTTAAGTTATTAATAAAAAGTATATATAAGTTTTATAAACTTTAAAGATAAGCAAAAAAAGTTACCTATTTATTTAATCTAACTTATTTTAATCTTATTCTTTTATCTTTTTATTATTAATATTGCTATATAAATATAAATTATAATTGTTAACAAAAGAGTTTAGGCTTTATAGTTTATTGGTTAAGCTTTAAAGGTAGAGTGAATGTAGATCATTTTCTATATAAGGATATCGACTAAAAAAATTTTACCCAAAATTGAACATACGTTACATATAAAAGTTTTTAAAAATCTGATTTTTTTTTGTAAAATTTTTACAGTATATACATTAAACTCATCTAATTATAATAATAGAATTTGAACCTTTGTTATATTCGAAAAAAATATACTTACATATATCGTTAATTCTTCCTAACTTAATCGAAATTTGCCTAAGTTACACAACATAAATAACATATGATCATCACCTGATTTTAATTAAATATTATTGTAAAAAATTTTAGTAACGTGATCACTATTGAAATGTAGATCATTTCACCCTACCTTAAACTTTCATAGACAAGATTAACAGTTCAAGTTAGGTTAAAAATAAATTAATATTTGCTTTTGTAACTTACAGAGGCCAAATTGAATACACAGCCTTATAGTTAAAAATCACAGATTAAATAAAGACATATTAGAATATAGAGAGAATTAGTAAAAATAAACCAAATTTATCTAATAAATTTAGTTTATTTTTACTGACTTTCTTCTATATATATAATTGATACAATATTGGATTTATATTAGGATCTCGATATAGATTTGATAATAGTAAAGTTAAATCAGACAAATATAAAAAAATATAATATTTATATTGGAAGATCAAAATATATCAAAATAATACTATAGTTCCTAATAATCACTTATACCAAATTTATAGCTAACAAAAACAGAAACTTGTTAGAAAAAAGTAGAAGAGACAACTATGAATAATAGTTTTACAGAAGTTAAGAACTTTTATATTTCCTCCAAACTCCTTTGTATATTCAGCATACAAGTTAAAAGTGTTCTTGTACAAAATAACTGGTAGGAAGATGGTGCTCTTATGCAAAAAATTTTAATAAAAGCTCTGCTTTTGCTGATGAAGTTAAAGATAATTGGTCTAATGAGAACAACAAGTGGGTTTTCAACACATTATTTACCAAAGTTTAAGACTACCTGCAAACTGAAACCCTCTTCTATAGCCTACTCTTGGTCTTTACAAAATTTTTCCAAAAAGTAGAAAAAACTATATACTTCTATTAAAGATTGACAACAACAATCACTGCTGAAAAAAGAAAAATACATATACATATACATATTCACTTTGAGTTATAGTATAAGATAATGTGATAACATTTGAAATCTTGTAAAAAATGTGTCAACAAGTTGAGATAGCAACTAGAAGTTTTGACCCTTGGAGTTTTACTTTAAGACCAAATAGTTTTTGATATTTTTTATATCCTAAATATAGACATAAATAACTAATATAGAGTTTAGTCTAGTTTATTTGTAGTACTATATAATTTTTATAATTCTGCATCAGTTTAATAGTACTATCTTTGTTTTCTTTTCTTTTGTTTTTCTTTTTTTTGTTATTTAGTTTTATTGATTTAGATGGACCAGAACTTGATATTATAGTATTTTCTCATTTTTGTTATACTCTTTGCTTTGTGTTTGAATTTTATTTTGTAAAAAGAAAAGTTAATTTGGATACAGTATGTGGTACTAGCCCATAACCAAAAAATAACTTCTAGAAAGTTAGGGGCTTGGAGAGAGGCTTGAAATCTACTGAGCTAAGTTATATCTGACAAAAGTATAGATAAGCTACTTTATGGATAGATTAATATAGCTACTATTAGAGAATAGAAATTTTTTAGTATAGTTAAATTTGCAAATAAAAAATAACAGGACTACCAAATTATAAAAAAAAATAGATCA